ACAGCACAGGGTTTTGCGCTCCTGCAGTCTCTCCTGGGCTAAACGGAACCAGTGGATCTGATTACTAGAAAACAATCCTGCTGCCGATGCCATGGCTCAATAGGCTACTCCTCTGCCTGCGGCGCTGGCCCACCGGGTTCTAGTCCTGGTCGGGGCGCCGGATTCTGTCCCGGTTGCCCCTCTTCCAGTCCAGCTCTCTGCTGTGGCCCGGGAGTGCAGTGGAGGATGGCCCAAGTGCTTGGGCCCTGCACCTGCAGGGGAGACCAGGATAAGCACCTGGCTCCTGCCTTCAGATCAGCGAGGTGTGCTGGCCGGCCACAGCGGCTATTGAGGGGTGAACCAACAGAAAAAGGAAGACCTTTCTCTCTGTCTCTCTCTCTCTCACTGTCCACTCTGCCTGTCCAAAAAAAAAAAAAAAAGAAAGAAAGAAAGAAAGAAAACAATCCTGTTACTGGGCGTCTCCCACTGGTGATTGCTCCTTCTGACCACCAAGACAAGCAGGAAAGTCATTCCAGGAGCAAAGCCATTTTTCTCTCCTTCCTCAGCCCAGGTCTCCGGCACGGCACCCGTGGGAAACACGTGCAGAACTTCCGGTGTGTTCTGCAACGTTTGTTTCCTCAAGGGTCGAAGGCACAGCCCAGTACTGCAACGACCTTGGAGCAGACACCGAGGAGTCTAGAACCAGGTGTCCGGGAAGAAAAGGCAGGTGCAGGGGTTCTCAGCCATGAATGTCACCACGACGACTCAAAGGCTGCTTAGGATAGCGGCGGTGAGTGTGGAACTGGGCGGCAGGTGTGTCCCAGTCTCCACGTTAGCCTATTAATTCAGCTGGCAGGCGGGGGGACTGGAGGAATTTTATCCTATATCATTTCATTCTTGTATACATAAGGGGTCTTGGAAAAGTTCATGGAAAATGAGTACTATGAAAACACTATGCATGGACTAAAATTCATGCACCAGAATAAACCTGTCTTTTAGTTCCTACTTCCATGAACCTTTTACAGTAGGCTCAGTTTATAAGCCACTGCGCTTCAGAAGTGAGTGAGGTGGGCGGTTTCCATGACGCTACATTCAGGCCAGTTCTGCAGGAGGGACAGGCATTATCCTGGGAACAGATTCCTTTTTTTCTTTTCTAAAAAATTATTTATTTGAAAGGCAGAGTTACAGAAAGAGAGAGAGAGAGAGAGAGAGAGAGAGAGAGAGATCTTTTATCTGCTGACTCACTCCCCAAATGGCTGCCAACAGCTAAGGCTTGGCCAGGCTGAAGCCAGGAGCCAGGAGCTTCATCTGGGTCTCCCACGTGGGTGCAGGGGCCCAAGCACTTGGGCCATCTTCTGCTGCTCTCCCAGGTGTACTAGCAGAGAACTGGACTGGAGTAGCTGGGACTGGAACCAGCACCATATGGGATGTGGGCATTGCAGGCAGTGGCTTAACCCATTAAGCACAACACTGTCCCCTAGAAGTAGGTTCTCACAAGGAATTTTTTGGATAATTTCTCATAAAAGCAACTTTAAAATGTTTTAAGGCTACATCTTTTATATAACTTTGCCAAATTCCCATTTTAAAGAAATACATGCTTATTTCAGTAATTATATAAAAACGAGATCACCTATTAATCCCAGAATAGCTACTAACATTTTTACATCTGCCTGCATTATTCTATGTATATCAATTTATATAAAATTTAAACAGCAGAATTAAATGCACACTACTGTGAAATTTGCTTTTGTACTTGCCAGTGTTGCAGGTGCACCTTTCCGCGATGGTGCCGAGTTCTAGTGTCCTGCTTCGATGCGTTCCGTGGATCTGCAGGTGTTCCTGTACGATGCTCTCTCCAGTTCCTCTTGATGGGCATTCCATTGTTTGTATTTTCTCTCAATCAAACATAACACAGCACCTTTACCTTCTTTATACAAACATATTTTCTCACTTGTGCAATTATTTGCTTGACAAAACCCTACAAGTGAAATTACTAAGTCGAAACATGCAGCACTTGTAAAGCCTTTTTGAAACGTTTGCCAAACACCCTCTGGAACAGCGCTGCCAGCGTCAGCTCCTGTGGGGGACAGAACCAGCCTTCTCACCAGCAGCAGGTTGTGGGGAGCGTGAAATACTGCAGTCGTTCCCCAGGATGACGGAGGCACACACATCGAATCACTGGCTATCCACACTTTCTGCTTTTGGAAGTTTTGGGTTAATATCCTTTCGAAGCTGGATTCACTGGCGAATCCATTTTTAAAATCATTGGCTGTTCTTATGATGAGAATATAAATTCTTTCTCTAATTTCCCAACAGATTTGTCTTAAAAATATTTTATAAGACTTTTTTTTCCCTGTCATGATTTTTGGCTTCAGTGTCCTTGTTGGAAAACTTCACGCTCCCTCCTGCGCCTTGCAAACTGACTCTGAACTCCCAGTGAGCCGAGGCCATCAATGCTCTGCGTTCATCTGCACCCCAGGAGCAACAGGCTTCCCCTGCTGTTTGCAAATACTCGGTATCACGAGTTTGAGCTGATGCCATCTGTTTGTGCTGTAGGCACGCTGTTCTGCGCTACTGCGGGTTCCATGCTCCCTCCTGGCTCTGTCCTGTGAATTGCTACAAGGAAGCACTCCAACACCCCCCTTGCTAGAATAAGGCTATTCGCATGCAGGGTCTCTTCCAGGTGAACCCACCATTTTTAACATTACTGCCCACCCAAGTTTCATTAAAACAGGGCAGAGGTTCTCTGTGTTTGTGTCATCCATGGGGACAAACAAAGGCTGAGAGGGCGATGCTTTAGGGGCCTGGGGAGTGGGAGTGAGGGGCAGGCCGCCGCTCTGAGTGGCCGCCGCTGTGCCGGCTCGTGGGGCGTGGAAATCATCCAAGCCCGGAATTCAGCATCTGCGGAGCAGACTCCTATCCCCGAGACTGTCTTCCTTGATTTTTATGGAGTTCAGGTGGGCTGCTCGCCAGACAAGCCCCAGTACTGCAAATGCCAGTCAGAGAGACAGGCACACCGCTGCCCCATGCTCTGCCGGGCCGGCCTTGGGCGCTGGGCTGCGGAGAGCCGAGAAGCCCACACACGCAGACCGCGGCTGCATCTCGCTTTGCAGGGCGAGGCTCAGGGATGCTACAAGCCGGCACCCCCTGGAAGCAGCTCGGCTTGCTCTGGAGGGCTCGGCTTGCTCTGTTACCTGTCCCACAGAGAACGGAAAAATGACATCCGCCGGCATCACGCTGAGATCAGGCGTCACTGCACTCCGCCACAGGACGGCCTCGGGGGAGGAGTTTGAGCGGTGACACCTGACAACGTGGCCGGCCTGGGACGCACGGCAGCTGTCGTCTGAGGCCCAACATCAGTCTGCTTCCTGGGCAGCGCTGACACAGCCCTATTTGTATTGTGCTGAGACTCCTCCAAAGTTGATGATTTTTAATTTGGCCAGATTTTCTTTGCAGACTTTCACTTTCTGAAAACAATAAGCCGTCAAGATCCAGGCAGGAGAAGCCATTCCTTTCTTTGGCCGGTGAGCCAGGTCCTCAGGAGGAGGTCCCCAGCAGAGGAACCAACGGCCAATCTGGCTCACCGTCCACTGAGGCTGCAAGAACAACAGCACCAGGTCCCTCTCCTGTGGGAGAAGCAAGGCCAAACCACTGTACAGGTGCTTGTTAGGTCTGGGCACCTGAGGAGGAGGAGTCAGGTGGAAACGCTGAGAAACGCAGCCAGGCCAGTGACTGCAGGGAGGTGCCCACTCTGGAGAGGAATGAGGGTGCGGGCGTGAGACCTGAGTTCAGAAAACCTGGGTGTTAGCCACAGATCCACTGTTAGCTGAGTGACCGTAGGTAAAGATGGGGTACCGCTGGAAGTCCGCAGATAATGGAACTAAAAGGTAAGTATATTTTGGTGCCTGAAGTTTGAAATCCAGGCATTTGAGGGCTCTTCCCAAAGTTCATGGGAAACGAGGATTATGAAAAAACTACAGGAGCATTTCAGAATGTTTTGGCATCAAAATAAAGTTATCTTTTAATTCCACGAACTTGTTGCAGTGTGCTCATACTTCCCTTCTCCCGGCCCCCGTCCACTGTATTCAGAGAGCAGGGAGGTTTTGTGAGATGCCTGCGGCAGTCATCATGGCTGTGGGCTGTAGGAGGGCACTTGGTGACCTCTAACAGGCTCTACCACCGTGTGTAGAATCCGCACACGCACACAGCTGTGAGAGAACGCAGGGTTCACCAGGTCCCAGCACACACCTGGCGGGCTCTGGTCGAGGCCCCCTCTGACCACACTGTAACCTGACGGTAGCCCATGCGGTCCTTCCTGCCTGACTCCCCTGGGGCCTGCAGGCTGCTTCTCTCCCAAAGAGAAACACTGGAGCAGGCAAGAGCGCGTTCTGCCTTCTGCCTCGCAGCCACTGGCCCCACGTGCCGCTGTCCCCTGAGTAAAGAAGGCCTCGTCTCTCCCATAGCTCAGCTCTCCCATTGGCATCGGGAGGGGTTTGGTGGGCTCACCTCCAGGGTCTCCGAATCTACCATGTCTGCTCTGCACTCAGGCTCCCTGCACTGCTGTGGTGGGGTCAGGCCGGGAAAGCTGCAGGTAGACCAGTGTCAACCCCAAAGCCGAGTCTTCTGCAGTGAAGCCCGAGCAGCTGGAGCCCTCAGGAGTGTTGCCTGCCCTGGTGGGAGGGTGCAGCCTGGCCCAGAGCCCAGCAGGTAGGCCAGGGGTGGGGGGGAGCGACAGGCTGGGGCCTCGCCACAGGTCACATGACTGACAGATGCACTGGGAACACGCCCGGCTCCTTTATTTCTCCACGGCACCCTGCACAGCACCTGTCTCCAGGAGGCCAGCCCTGAAGTCCGCTGTCAGTAGCCTATGGTTTCTTTCTCCTTCCTGTTGAAGGGGTTGTAGGGCCTCACTGTCGTGACCATCCGGGACAGCGGCGCCTGGTGCCGAAAGACGTCAACTTTCATTTCTTTCCGCAAGACACTAGGCCAGGATGGAGGGAGACAGAAATGACACGTGAAGTAAACATTAGAAACATATATCCTCACCTGTCATCCAAATAAGGACCCACAACTACAAGGCAGAGAGGGGAGGGAGCGAGAGACAGAGGAGGGAGAGAGAGGGAGAGTGCAAGAGGAAAGCAGAAAAGGAGGGCGGAGCTACTCCTAGCCACATTCAGTTGTGTTTGTGGCATTTCCCACATGACAATGCAGCTAGGTTCACTGACCAAAAACCTGCTGTGCGTAAAATTCCAGGTACTAAGAAGGAGTTGGGTCTACAGAGAGATAGCCACGTGGCCCAATGACCACTGCAGGGAGTCTCTGCCTGGGTGGTCCAGGGCTCTGGGGGTACACCCGGGCCTCTAGGGGCTGGGGAAGGGTGTGAAGGGGGTCCGCAGCCGATGTAGAAGGGGAACAGAGGCGTGGAGACGACGGTGGTGGTGGGAGGGGCCCGGCCTCGAGGGAGGCCAGTGGCTGGGGCTGAGGGAGGCTCCGCCACACCAGGAGCTGCTGCAGGGTGAGGTCTGCATTACGCTGACCGAGGGCTGAAGCCGTGGTCTCCCTGCGTCTGGCGATACATCCGTCCTACCAAACTTGTCACGAGAATTAAGAGAATTAAAAGAAATTAACTGTGAACGTGTGCAATACTATGCACACAAAGAAAATAACTGAACACGTGGAAAACTATGCAAACGAGGCTTCGCCCACTGGTCACTGGTGCTCCTAAGGTCACAGTGGTCATTCGCAGGATCGTCACCCTGGCGGTGACACCGTGGTGCCAGCCACCCTGAGCCCAGCCCCTGGGTCCAGAGTGGTGTTGGCTTGGCTGGGAATTTTCTGGGGCTTGAATCCACACAAACCACGTGATGTCTGCATGTAGCAACAAGTTGCACAGCTAGCGTGGAACGGACCCACAATGCCCTGTCTCCTGCCGCGATGGTCGTGAAGCACTAGCGCTGATTTTCACGGCGTTGTGGGAAGCATCTGCTGAGGAAGCCCTACTCCTGCAGCGGCTGCACTGTGGAGAGGCCGGGCTGTGGAGGAGCACCGTGCCCGTATGCCCGACTCGTGAACCTGCACACTCCCACTCCCCTTCCATGGCCTGCTCACACACAGGCCTCCTCGCTTCAAGACTCTTCCAGTTGTTTCTTTCTTCTTGATTTTGCATCCTGTCCCTGAAGGGCTCCTAAGGCACCATGGGGGCCTGGACACCTCGCTCACAATGTGGGATGGGGACCACATGGCCCCTCTGTGTTGACATTCAGGCCTGGCGGCGACCTTGCCAACCAGAGCTCCGCGGCGAATGTGCTACCCACATGTTCTGCGTCAACAGCTGCAATGCCCCTGGCCCCTGTCCTCTTGTCAGTCCACCATCCAGAAGACTGGAGGCTGCACTTCCTGACTGGCGCCCAAATCCAGACGCGCGAGGTCAAGGAGAGAGTGGGCTGGGGGAAGTGGAGGCAGGGAGTCCAGGAGAGTGGCTGTTTGCCTTTGAAAGAAGTTTGTCAGGAAAGGAAGGAGAGGAGAGAATCGGGGGCCAGCGGGAGGCTTTCCTGGGCTTCTTCCCAAGTGACCGGCCAGCTGGAAGGGGCGAGTCCCAGGGCAAGTGAGCACACGCAGGCGGGAAGGGGGAGGGGAGCAGGGAGGGGGCGCTGATGCTTTTAGAAGACCCTGCCTTCCTGGGTGGAAAGGGAGCCCAGTGGTGGTGGGGATGGAGGCTGGGATGAGTGAGGAGGAGGGCACCGCGCCCGGGGACCTAAGGTCACCTTGGTCAGCCAAGGCAGCCACAGTGGAGACTGTCTTCTGGGAAGGGACTGGGAGCCAAGGTGCTGAGAGAGGATTGAAGACGGCCACTGTTGGGAAGGGCCAGGGCTCTCAGTGAGACAGGAGAGGATTGAAGACGGCCACTGCTGGGAAGGGCCAGGGCTCTCAGTGAGACAGGAACCGATTACAGAGAAGCAGAGAGGGTGTGGATGAGGCTAACATTCAGGAGTTCCTGGGGTGCCTGGTCTAGAAATAGAAAAAAACAAAACAAAACAAAAAAAAACACATCAGACTGACTAGATGCAACCAGCAGGAGCTCACACAGTTCTCATGACACTCAGAGACCTGAACTCACGCTTTCACTGGAAACTTTTAGGAAACATTTAAACATAGTGTCACAAAAGAATCCAAGGTGTTGCTTCAGAATGGAGGCTTGAAGGCCCGATTTCCTGATGGCACAGTCTGGACTAATTACAGACAGCAGGGCTCCTGCTGGGGCACCATCCTGGCGTCCAGAGCACTCCTGCCCGCTGGTAGCTCTCCTGAGGGGTGAATGCCGAGGTGCAGACTGGGGCGTGGCCACCCGCACAGCCATTCAGTGTGGTGGCCCTCTGCTGCTGTCCTTACGGCTAGACTTGCATCTGCACCCTCAGAACAAGAGCCCCGGAGGGGCCCAGATCGCCATCCAGGGCCACAGCTGCCAGCTACAGCTGGTGTGAGATGGGCACTGCATCACTGACTCCGCAGGGGCGTCCTGCCGAAAGATCCTGACTCCTTCTCCAGTAGTAACAGCGAGGGGTGTTTTCCACCGAGAAAGAGAGAGAGATCTGAAAGATAACAGGAGCCTCTAACCACACGCTGGCTAGCATGACTGTGTGGCTGTGGAGCCCTGGCAGAGGGACAGGATGTTGGGGTGAGGTCAGAGTGTGAACTGAAGAGGTGAGACATCAGAAATGCTTGCTTTCCCTTGCGAACAATCTCTGAGCTGCATCCCAACATCCACGGTGCCTGGGATCCACCCGTGTGTGCCCCAGGGAGGAATGGTATTCAGCCTTGAAAAGGGAGGTGCACCTGCTCTTTCCCAAAGCACAGACGGAACTGGAGGGCATCCTGAGATGAGCCAGTCACAGAGACACACCCTGCATGATCTCACTTGATGTGGAATCTCCACTCACACACACACACACACACACACACACACACAAAAGAACAAAACAGACACTCGGAGATGCAGGACACCGTGCGGTTGTGAGGGGCAGGATGGGGCAGGAAGCGGCACACGCGGCGGATGAACAAGTGTCGACGTGGGAGCGGCAGGAGAACTGCCCTGAAGCACCCGTGCCGGATTCAGCATTTCGCTCAACGGCGAGATTACAGCTGCTCCAGCCGCGTGGCAGAAGTAGACCTCGTGGTGACATGGCCGCTGCCACTTTGTTTCACTCCAGTATCCACTTTTCTACACATTCTTTAGAACATCATGTTGTATGCCAGAGAAATAACATTAAAATTCATTTTAAAAACATGATGCATGTAAATATTATTAAGACCAGAAAGAAACGCCTCTCCAGAGTGCCGTGAGTGGGAAACGCTGGCCTAGACAGCTGATGACGTCCTTCCGTGCATTCCTTTCTGTCTTTCCAGGCGGCCGTCACACCAGATGCACGGGTGCCGACGAAGCCCCACGGGCCCCCGCTTCTCTTTCCTTCGCACAGAGGTGAGCCGCTGGCCCACGATGCCCACACGATGCACGGCAGCCTGTTGCTGGGCCCTGCAGTCCATCAACCCCTGCACACAGGCAGCTGAGCCCTCGGACAGAGCAAGGCCTGCTCCCCCGAGAGTGCCCACTGGAGTCACCTGCTTCCTCATGGCCCCCGCAGTTTGTGTGTGCCTCAGCTGTTCCTCAGTTGTACAGGGGAGAGTAACAGTCCCGTCCTCACAGGGATCCTGGGACGGTGGCCTGAGCTAGCAGCCATGACCCACAGGGAGGAGCACCAGGCCCCTGGGAAGCACCTGGCCAGCAGGAGTAGCATTAGCACTGATGCCAGGCGTCTCCTGTACGGGTCACCTGTTTCAGTTGGCATGCAGGTGAGCTCTTGGGAGCCTTCAGCCCTAGGAGCACATGTTGGCTCAGAAGAAGGACAGAAGACTGCCCTGGAAGAAGCCAGAGCCCTGCGGGGCAGTTGGCCGCTTGCAGCCACCACCTCTTGGCAGTGTCAGAAGCCGATGGAAGACGGGCTCCAGCTGGGCCCCTCCCCTGGAAGGCCACCTCCCAGGCAGCTCGGGCAGCTCAGCCTGTCTTGTGCAAGGCACACTGGACGACCCCAGATTTTATTTCTTCCATTCCTCATCTGCCAACTTTCACACCAGAACGTGAGCTCCTGAGGGCTGGAACATTTTCTGGTCAGCCTGTTTGTTCAGTGTCTTGAATGGTGCCTGCCCAGAGGGGATGCCCAGTCCACACGTGACGACCAAGCGGATTCCTCAGCATTCCAGGAGACAAAGGCACCCTCTGGGGGAGAGCTGCGCCCGCCGCCGCATCTCCAGTCCGACTCCCACAGCTGATTCATTTGCCACACCTGCCTCTGGGCTCATGGCTGTGTCATCAGTTGGGTGAGGCCAGGACGTCCCTCAAACGCTCCCGGCGTGAGCTGTGAGGAGCCAGAGGTGCTGCTTCTCACCCACGGCTTGCGGCGCAGCAGCCAGCTACCTGCAACCTCCCGGCTCGCGGCTTCTGTCCTCCGTGTGCAAGGGCGAGGTTGAAAAACACACGTACAGACTTTTGCCTCTTTAGAAAAACAAGGTGACGGTTTCCATGTGGTAAGTATGTGCTCATGTAAGTATGGTCCAGGCTTCTAAGTGGCATGTCTCGCCCGAGAGTGGGGTGGAAAAACCTGGAGGCTCACAGACAAATTGCTGTCCCCTCCATGCTCAAAGCTCTTCTCTGCAAATCAGTGCCACCTACCTTTCATCCACATCTGTTCGTAATGGAATTTGGGGTAAGATTCCCAAAAGGTCACAGGGGCAAGGCCTAACAGTCTCCCTCAGGAGGAAAATCGGTACCTCCTTTTTTGGATTTGACTCATTTTTTAAAACTTACATTCTTTACCCTTACATTTAATTGGCCTTTACGGGAACAGCTATGATTAGGATTCCTTCCTCAGGGTCTCTGAGCATCCCAAGCAGTGAGATTCACACTCACCAGTGCAGGTTTGAGTCTGGAGACGGGGTTGTTGGTGGAATATTAGAATTTGCTGGGTGGGTGGCTGTGAAATGAACCTTGCCAGTATATCCCGGGATATTTGCAGCACTGGAGAGAGAAATTAAAAGAGGGGGAAGAGAGGAAATTAAAAGGATGATCTCTGACCCAGTCATGGCAACAATCACTCAAACAGGAGCACAAAGGAGGGTGCAGGCTCATCTTTCTTCCTGGATGAGCTCTGGGCTCGGGCTGTGCAGCCAGGGAGAAGTGCAGGCACCCACTGCGCTGACGCATGCAGCCCTGCAGGGGGGCTGAGAAAACTCATCTCCAGCGCTGGCTTCCCTGTTAGTCTATATTTGCATGTCTTTTCCATACACGACTCACTGCTGAGCAGTTCCCTAATGAAGAAAGACACCAGTTCTTGAGGAGCAGATCCGTGCTCCACACACGCCTCTGGACAAGCACCGAGGGGACTTCAGAAAGTTCATGGGACATGGATGGAAGAGATGAGTTCATTCCGGAGCAAAAAGCTTTGGAATTCTGCTGTTTTCCCATCTGAGTTTTCTATGAACATTCAATAGTTCTTGCAGCAAAATGAACTTATATTGTAATCCATGTTCCACGAATTTTTGAAGATTCCTTGTGCATTTACATCTGTTATTTTTTATCAAACGTCTTTTTATCATCGCTGATGGACTATGTGGCCCCTCAGGTGATTTCCTAACATTGCATGGGCAAAGCACAGGTGGCTTCTTCTGTTCTGTTTAATTCCAGACCATTCAGCTGTCCTAAGCTGTCCCAGTCCTGTCCTTTCCTGACCAGTGACAGAGGGAGAAGAGAAGAAAGCATGCGGACATGGGGGAAGGTTACTCCGTGTGTGTTTAAGAGCCTTCTCTGGGAAAGACAGACAGGTGCCCAGTAATTTGAGTGCATGGTTCAGAGGAATATGGAGACACTCATGGCGGTCACTGAAGCACACAACTGGTCTACCTAGATTATTTCCTAGGGCACAGGTGAGGCTGAATCACAGGGAAGGACCTGCATGAGGTTGAGCCCTGTGTGCTGCTTATGACACAGTGCCTCCACGGCAGGGAGCTAAGGGAAATGCGCATTAAATTGAGTTTCAAGAACACACCCTTCACAGATGTTGTCATGAGGCCAAGTGACGCATCATCCATGTGGCTTCATACCAGTGTCCCGGCCTCTGCTTGCTGTGCTGGCTTCAGGGGGCGGGGTGGGGAGGGGAAGCACAAAGGCCACCATCCTGAACGACCTGGGTCGCCGTTTCTACTCACCCAGTGGTTTGCGCTTCCCACCCCAGGGTCTGCCTTTGCGAGTAAGGTGTCCCAGTGACATGCTTCCTTATTCAAAGCAGAACAAATGCAAGCCAGTAGCAACAGCCTCTGGAGAGGGGAGGAGTGGGTGCCCCACTGACATCCTTTCCCCACATCCGATCACCAAAGAAAGCATTCTCCAGAACCACCGTCTTAGGAGTAATTTTTAAAATGCAGAGCTTCAGGGAGGCTGCTCCTCAAAGCGCCAGGTGTTGAGGCAGACAGAAAAGTGGGTGAAATGGGTGCACGCCCAGGGGTTAGCAGGGGGTGCAGAGCCTCCCCTGCCCTCCCCTCCCATCTGGGCTTTGGATGGAGCTCTTGGGCCTTGTGGCCTGCGCCAGGACATGGACCTGAAGGGGCCAGTGAGAGTGAAGAGGAACCAGAGGCCATTCGGATTGCACGTGCTGGCGTCGCTCCCACATGGACTGTGCAGGAGGACCAGACCGTTAGGGAGGACACCGTGCGCTAGGCAAGCAGTGGCACTCCTCAGGCACACCGTTCTCTTCCAAGGGTGCGATTCTGTGACTGTTGGTGATGGCTCCTTGGCTTGCAGCCAATGAAATCAGGAATGCCCTGCCACGCACAGGGTGAATGAAGATTATGCCAAGGACAGTACCAGGATAAGTGGTACAAATCGAGTCCTGAGAGATGAGGAACATAAGGCAGTAAGAGGGCATGGGAAGCTCCCACCCTAAGCGTCAGCTTCTGTTCTCAGACAGGAAAGCTCTGTGGGCCAGCCTGGTCACCTCCTTAGGGGTGCTCGGAGGACTCAAGGAATTAACTGACTGTGAAAGCAGGCTGCTAAGTGCTTGGCACCTAATAGGTGCTCAACTAATTCTAACTGAAATGCCAGATTTTAAAGCAGGGGTGGGGTGCACTCTTTCTGCTGAGTCATTTGGGTATGTCAGCCTCCCATGAGGGTGCCGGTTCATGTCCCGGCTGCTCCACTTCAGATCCAGCTTGCTGCTGATGGCCTTGGAAAAGCAGTGGAGGACGGCCCACGTGTCTGGGCCTCTGCCACTCCTGTAGGAGATCCTCCTGAAGCTCCTGCTTCCTGGCTTCAGCCTGGCCAGCTCTGGCTGTTGCTACCATCTAGGCTGTGGAATCAATGGATGCAAGATCTTCCATCCTGTCTCTCCCTCTCTCTCTTCAAGTAAATAAATAAAATTTTAAAAAGAAAAGTAGCCTGTTATAGATTCATTGGATTTCGAGTCCTGCCTGCACCTGCCTTGACAAGGCCAGACTAAACGATTTTGTGGGCCTTATAGGGCCCACTGGCCGATGGTCCCTGCTCCCGCTTTAAAGAAATAAAACACATAGCAAGTAGGGGCCTGGCAGGTGAGGATACAAAGTTCACCCAGGACAAACAGCTGCAGAGACGCTAAGACACAGTTTGCAGTCGGTGCTGAACCTGCAGTCTCACGGGCACTCGTGCCAGACTGAACCGGAGTGACCTGGAAATGGGGGCTTTCCAAGTTCTCCGGATGATTCCAGTGTGCGAGGAAGCTGAGAGCCTGGTCAGCTCACTGGAGGGACTCAGCTGAGAGAATGAAGCCTGCCACAGCCTGGGCAATGCCCTTTGGGATGGCGTGGCTTTTTCTTGAAAAAGTACAGCTGTAATTTAGAGAGGTAACCACAAATGGGCAAAATTATTCATGTGTGTGACTCTGCCCCAAACACGCTCTGAAGCGTCCTTGCGTGCTACAAAGGAAAGCCCCTTCCTGTGTGAGAGAGGTTTTTTCCACGGCCTCTGAGACACCTGTGGAAGGAAGATGTCACTGAAGCTGCACTCCGTCAGAGCAGCCAGGAAGCCAGGGACGGGCACAGCGACATGCCCTCAGTGAGGGGCCCGAGGGCACCAGGCAGGTTAGTGACGCCAAGTGGCATCCAGCCTTCCACCAGAGCGGCTGTGACATCACATCTAATAGGTGCTGGCCACAGAGCAGGACACCGATTAGCTGTTTAGGCAGGAGGAATTCAGTTGCTTAATGAACTGCCAAGCATTTGAATATAAACAACATATGTCCTCTCATACTGCTTCCAACTGACTGCATTTAACCCTTGTGTGGGGACATCATGGGGAGTTTCTGGCATCAGAAGTACCACGCAGCGACCTCATGCCGCGAGCGCATACGAGCCAATGGCAGCTTTCAGGCAGCGGAGCCAAAGCGGTGTAAGGCCGTGCGCTGCACAGGCTGGGCGATGGCTTCCAGCTTAGCTGCAGATTTCAGATTAGCTCCTCCTCCCCTGAGTGGAGAGACACAGGCAGCGGCTTAAACAGGAGACAGCCTCTCCGCCGGCCTTGCTCCATGGCTTCCAGGCCTAGCCCTCTTCCCAAATAATAATCTTGGATTTTATTTACTGAAGAGTGAAGTTAAACGGATTGTTGCCCAACTTTGCAACTATTTTTCTAACAAAGTTTTTCTAACATAATTAAGTAGAATTTGAATAATTTCAAAAAATAAAGACGTCAGTTGGAAAGTAATTCAGTTAGAAAAGGCAACAACAGATAGTATATAGTTAAAAGCTAAATAAAAATTAAGGAAAATATAAGAAAAACCATGTTATATGCCGAATACATGCAGTGGGAATGTGGAAGAAAATTTAGGCAAGCATACAACTTCTCTCTCTAAACTGCAGTCCTGACACTCACGAGCCTTTTTAAGTGCTGTACATGAAATGACCCTGGTAAGATGTCCTGTCATGATGCCCACTTTACAGACAAAGGAACTGAGGCACAGAAAGTCCAAGCAATGTGCCCAGAGCCAAGCAAGCTGGCAAGTGTCAGAACTGGACCCCATCCTAGAAGGCCTGGGCTAGCCAGGAGAGCCTTGGCAGCTCAGATGGAGGGCATTTATTCAGGGTGCGGGTGTAAGTGTAAGTTCAAGTCCATGGGACAATCTCTAACTGGGAGCTTCTCTCCATCAGGCACAAGTCTCGGCAGAAATCCAGCAGGCCTAGCCCCTGACAGCTTGCACGCTCAGCAGTCTGTCCTAAGAATGGACAGGGACGGCACTACAGAAAGCGAGCGGGAAGATCAGAGACGCAAAGCATGAACGGGGTGTGTGCCGCAGACACTGACCTCCCTCCGGGGCACTCTGATCAGTGACCTGGAGACCCCAGCTGAGGACGCCACCCCATCCCCCTCCATTGTCTACCAATAGTCAGGGTGCCTGCCCCTGCCTTGCAGGCGTGTGGAGCAGACAGCACACAGGAGGGCTGGCATAGCACCCAGCACATGGTGGGTACAGAATCAGTGGAAGAGGAAAGGCGGGTGAAGGGGGGGAGCAGCGGAACAGAGGGGGTCCAGCTCCAGTTTCAGGCAGGGCTGGCCCAGGGACTGAGATAAGGGCAAGACCACGCTGAGCTCAGAGGGAGGGTGAAGTCGGGGACTGCCAGACAGTGGGGCCATGACTAGATCTGATTTCTCTGACTTTCCTGGCCAATGAGCAAATGGAAATAAAACAAACCATTTTCTCGTCACTTGGTGGCTGAACTGTGTTTCTCTCAATGTTTTAAGATGATGTTGCCCAAAGATATTTTTCAAGAATTATTATAGTTTTACAGTTATTGTTATCACTGGCGAGCAGAGAGATTTTTCCTTTTGTGCTCTTAGAACCTTCATTTAGGAGGGGACATAGACATACCTAAGACAAGGCTTTGATATTCTTGGGGAGGCCCAGGCCCAGGAACAGGCCATTGCTGGAGGCAAAGGCCCCTGAGAGTGGCCGAGGCCCCGGGTCTGCCCTGGGGATTAGAAGGCGCCTCCCCGAGACTGCAGAGCTCCTGGAATGAGTGAGTAGTCCTGGGTGCCATCTCCTCTGGCCTCAGCCCCCTCATCTGCAAAATGGTGGCAGATCTGTTCCCACAGGGCTGGCCTCCTCACCCTCTTTTGAAAAACAAATGAGGGAGTAGATGTGAAAGTGGTCTGAAAGGCAGAAGTGTTGGCTCATGGAAGGAACTACTATTCATAGCCAGTCCTGAACCTGGCTTGTGGTGCGAGTCTTTCTTTTTTTAAGCTGCAACACAGCCCAGTGCCGGGCAGGGAGGCCTTCCTTTTCCCAGCTCAGACCTTCGGCCAGGCCTGCCTGGAAACCCATGCTGGACAATTCCTCTTTCTTTGCAGATGCTTCCTCACAGACATCGCTGAGGTGAGAAAGTACCGTGCATTTGCAGCCTTGGATGTCCTGCCGTGAAAGATGACAACCTGGGGGAGCATGGCCCAGCAGAAGCTGCTGCATGCTTCCCAGAGACCAGCAAAGGCGACTGCCGGAGTGGGTTTGGGGTGAGGAGACGCGGTCCCTGCCAGCCTGGCCTTGGTCTGTGCCACTTCCTGGGCCTGCACTGAACTTGGCCCTTCCCTGGGAAGACAAGGGTGGGATGCCACGCAGTGAGTAGTCAAGGGAGGGCTCCCACGTTCAAGACCTTCACAGAAGAACCCCCTCGGAGCAGCTTTTAGGAAAGGGCAATGACCTTGGGCTCAGGTCTTGCACAGAGCTGTCCTGATGCTCTGTGATGACTCCCGACTGCACAGCACTCACGCCACCCAGCGTTATGAAATTACTACTCAAGGGAACTGACCGTCCTTCCGCCCCGCTCACGGAGCTCTTGCAAAGATTGCAGCTCTTATGTTAAAGAGAAGGAGAAAATAAAATCAGACTTGGGGAAAAAATGTGCATGGGGTTCCTTAGTTCAGTCTTACCTGAACCGTTCTCCTTGACACTCCTTACACATCAGAGTGAATTTGAATCACTTGTTCAGAAATGCTGAGCAGTGCCCAGAGGCAGTAAACACAGCACACACTTACTGAAAAAGTGCGCAGGCTTCAGTGCGTCCTGCTGAACCCGACAGATATTCTGGACTCTCCCAGCTCTTGACCTAGCCTCTGGTTACAACTAGGAGGAACTGCGGTGGAAACCACACACATATTCTGAGTTCTGTAAGTTTAAGTGCCTTCTAATAGCTGGGCATGCCTAAAAATGAGAAAATATTTCATCTTCAATGAGAAAATTCATGCAACAGTCCTATTGTGGGGCTGTGTTCTACAGGAATGGCCAGATGATTCTTGATATACTGTCTGTGGCGTGACTTAGCAGACACAAACCTGATCAGGCCTGTGGTGGAATACCATGGGGCCGCGACAAAGATTTTAATCTGGGGACAATGGCCAGTACCCAGTTCAGTCTTCCACACACATACACACATGCACATGCACACATATCACACATGCACATTCACGGACACATGAGGAGGAGTATATAAAGAAATAAACCTTTTACTACTGGGAATGCAAATGGACCTTTCACAGTGCAAAACACTTGAATTATTTCTGTACCGAGCACAATGGGAAGGGAAATGGGGGTGCTCAAGGCGTCCCCTCCCACAGTGAAGGGGAACAGGCATGCTGGGCACACACCCTGCCAGGAAAGGCTTCAGCTAAGGGCCAAGAATGTACGTTTTCATCCCAGAATCTATTTGAAGGAAGCTTCCTTAAGTAATCATTTTTAATCATGACTCACGCAAAAGGGGTTTGAGGACATTATTTATCATAGCAAAAAATGGAAACAATTTACATATGCAAACTTAATGAGCTAGTCAATTACAGTACACCTGCCCCAATAGGGATTATGATGAATTCATGAAAATATGTGCCCATAATTATTCTGTGAAGCTAAACTGCTAAAACTGTTATAGGTAACATGATCACAGCCATGTAAATATTCCAATGCAAGAACAGAAATGCACATGACAGGTGGGAACCTGCCAAATGTGAATTAGACTCATGTTTTTGTGCCAGAATGGTTTTACTGTTACTCACTTCTCTATGATGATTAGATTCCATTCTACCATAGAACCAGTAGGCTATTTTAAACTACTGAAGTCACCGCCAATAAAACCTGAGCATGTCAGATGACTTGGTGATGAGAAACAAAGTCAATTAAGGAGGGGAATTTGAAAATGCTTATGCTGTAAGGAAACGAGTGATTTCAAGGAAGGAATCATTAGACTCAAGAGTCAGGAGCCTTGATCCTCAGGAATGACTCCATCAAAGGGGGAGGGGTGCGGCCTGGCTTGCAAGCTGTGATTAAGTGCCACTGATCACGGGGAAGACCCAGCTAACATGCTAAAGACAGTTCTTTGTAAGAAACTTTTTGATGGGAAAGTTCAGAAAACCACTTGCATTTGATGGTACTCTAGTCTCTGGCACAAAGCAAGTGTACGTGCTCCTTGACGTCTGATTTTATGCGACGGACATCATATGGAATGCAGTCTTTTCAGCTAGTGACCTGCTGGGCAAATGACGCAGTACTTGGCTCAGCTTCATATTTTTCTAGTAAAATCATACAGTAAGGCAGGGAAAGGTTAAGCATAAAGGCTAATAGGGATGACTTCTGGGTTGGGGGAAGGGGAGCTGGGGCACAGAGGTTGCGGGGGGAAGAGGAGCTTTAAAAGAGTTTAGCAAATTTTTTTTTTTTTTTTTGGACAGGCAGAGTTAGACAGTGAGAGAGACAGAGAGAAAGGTCTTCCTTCTGTTGGTTCCCCCAAAATGGCTGCTGTGGCGGGTGCTGCACCAATTCAAAGCCAGGAGCCAGGTGCTTCCTCCTGGTCTCCCATGCAGGTGCAGGGCCCAAGGACTTGTACCATCCTCCACTGCACTCCCAGGCCACAACAGAGAGCTGGACTGGAAGAGGAGCAACCAGGACAGAATACGGCGCCCCAACCCAGACTAGAACTCCTAGACCCTGGGCTACTGGCGCCACAGGAGAAGGATTAGCCTAGTGAGCCGCCGCGCTGGCCAGTAAATCTTATTTCTGAAGCTCAATGGGGGTATACATGCTATTTGTTGCTATTTTATGTTATATTTACACTATACCTTTTTGTATATATAAATATTTCACAATAAAAATGGAAAAAACTTCTTTGTTTTAAAAGGTTAAGATTCTGTCAAAAAATTTCAAAAAGATCAAAAGAAGAAACTTTGCAACCTTGGAGGCCCTCTAGTGTCCAAATCAGATTTCACATGATCTTTCATAATTTCACTTTAAAAACAGAAATTAACAGGAAGATGGGATGGAAGGACACACTCCCCATCAATTCATGTTAACGCTTAGTTTTTAAAGCACATTTTGGAAAACGTTGCAGATTACTCTACAAACTTTGAAGAATGGCCCAAAAGAGTATGTTTTGATTCTTTAGCCAGAATGTTTCATAAAACCTTTAAAAATTCAAATATGTTTTAAGTATAAATAAATATAAAAATATTCAAACATACATTTCAAAAGAGAAACATTGTTAAATTTTTTGTGTTTGAAGAATATTTTTTAAATTGGTTTTATTCCCGAATGCTTCCTTACAGTTTTTAGAATTACCACGTTGAACAGCAGTAATTTCCTTTCAGGGTGTGTGGAAGAATCAACAACTTAGTCCCCAGGATTCTGTACAACACAGCAGCTTGACATACGTTACTGATCCACCCACCCTCCTTCATCTCGCTCGTCGGCATTTAGCCCCACGCATTTCAGATGGAGGGTGTGAGGTCGCAGAAAGGAAGTGACTTACTCAGAGCCCCAGGTGAGTCAGTCCCCAAAACGGTACCCTCTTTTGTGGCAAGCACTGCTTCTCTCAGGAAACAAACGGCTCTCTTCATAAGTCACCTTCAGGTGAGGCATCGTGTCATTCCCTCATTTACAATAATGTCCATCACCAGGCTTCATCCTTAGTAACAAGTGGAATGATTCTGAACACAACTCACCGGCCCGTGTTGGTGTAGTGAGGCTTAGAGCGCCGAGGCTTGGCAAGAGACGTGATGTCTCCAAAGGGGTTGTCCACGTCATCAGCATTTGTGGACTGCACATGACCACTGTCAGGGTGAAAAGAAAAGAAGACCCACGGTTCTTGATAAGGAATAGCGGGACAGTGTTCTAACTGCCAAAGGGAATTTTATTTCCCAAAATGGATCCAAACCTCCCAATACAAAAAGAAAAAGCATGGTGGTGGGACAGTGGGCCTTAGGAGACGGAGGTGGTTTTCCCTTCTTCAGAGAAGAGGATCTGTGCCTCTTGGTCCGAGCTCACTCTGTCCCAACATGAGGAGCAGCACTGTTCCGCATTGATGAGCACAGGGGTGGGCTGTTGCTGCAGTTCCCCACGGGACGCTGTGGCACCTGGGCCCAAGTGTAGGCCGGCTCTATGCTTCTACAGGGGAGGGAACCTGGCTAGGGGCTAGGGGCTAGGGGCCTCAGCCTCAGGCCACGGGCCCACGGGGCAGTGCAATGTCCCGAGGTAGCACTGATATCACAAAGCGACCTGGGGACGTTGGGGCCACTAGAAGAAACCTTGGTCTCTTCTGCGGAAGGGCATCAGAGGCCACAGTAACGGGGTGGGAGACCTGTCCTCCATGTTCTTGCATTTACTCTGTTCCTGGTTAGCCTTCAGTCAGAAAAGAGGGGAAGACCCCCAGTGGTGGCTAATGCACTTTGTTACCATCCATGCAAAGCCTAATCTAAATGTAGAAAAATCAGAGATGGCATTTCCTGCACTTCAGTGTTCATGAGTACACAGTGTTTTCTGCACCAAAAAATGGTGTAAGGTGTAGTTCAGCACCAAAATATGGCAAATAATAAAGTATGAGATATTATCTCACAAACTATAACTGAGAAATATCACTTCTCATTTTAAAATCGAACTCTGTAACACACATTTGATGAAACTCCTGACATTAAATAGACAGTGTGCCAGGAAAATATTAGGACTATGTTGAATACACATTTGTCCTACAAAGTGAATTACAAACATAAGTGAGCTAAAAGACACTACAATTCAGACTAAGTATTAGATTTTTAATAACAGTGAGAAATGTTACTTACGTATATAGAGGAATATATTTACTTCTAGAACTCGGACTCACACTTGGGAAAAGAGACAATATGGGAAAATGATTTATGGATGTTAAGTTAAAAACATCAAATTATTATAATAATTCTTTAATCAAAATGAGATATCCTATGTCAGTTGGCCTCTAAAATTGGTAATTCTAAACAAAAATGATTAAAGATGTAGTTTTGCCTTTTCCAGAATGTCTTATAAATGAAACTGTACGACACATAAACCTCTGGGACTGGCTGCTTTCACCGAGCAAAGTGCGTTTAACCTCCATCCTAATCGTTGCTTGTCTGCTGCCTTTTCCTTCTTTCACTGCTGCTCAGTGTTCCCCACGTGCATGCTGAACCCTGCCCATTCCTGCTGCCGTGTGCCTTGGTTGTTTATCGACCGAGGAAATGAATAAAACTGTTCTGAACATTCACACAGAGGCTTTGGTGGGGGCTTCTGGGAGCAGCACTGGCATAGAGGAAGGCGAGGCCTCAGGTGAGTGCTGCCCTCAGGATCCTGGGGTGGGAGGGCAGCACTGACCAGGACCCCCAGCTTTCATTTAGCAGCTAAGGAGTCACCAAAAATGCAGTGAATCCATAGAGGCAGGGATAAAAACATTCAGCCTCTGGGGCAGCCATTGGCTCCTTACTGCATGTAGGCAAATAGAAAGATGCCAGGGAAGGTTTAAAAATTAGCATTCACGTGTTAAGAATTAGTAGTAAAAATCTTCTATTTAAAAATATTTGAATGGGGTTATTAATAATTTCAATGTGCTGTATGCATGAGGATCTTGAATGGTTTTGGATGTTTCAATTTCTTACTTATTATCATTAAATTTATAAGTCTATAAATGTATTTTACACATTTAAAAACTATATTTAAATAATCTCTATCAAAAAGGTTTACATTACTTTTAGATATGGCTCAATAAAATGCAAGTTTTCTGACAAGCCTCAGTTTTCTTCTCAATATTGTCACTATTTGCATTCCTAGATCGCATTGCAAAACTTGATTATGGCTTTGTATAGATTCACTTCATTATTCTTTTCTCTTCTAATAATAAAAGAAATCGCATATAAAGAGCATTTTACACTAGTTTTATTACAGTGCTCCAACTGTCAAAGATTTGAAATGTTATCCTTGATAACATTTCTTCATAACTAAAACTTTGAAAACACTATTCATGTGGCTGACTGGGTCACCCCCCCCCCCCCCCCCGGCATGTGCTTTGCAATCATTTGTGACGAGGTAAATACAAAATGAACTGTGTAACGTGAAGGCTCTCACTGAGCCGATGGCCATCACGTTGGCCATCATCACACAGACGGCAAGTGGGATGTAACCTTTGGGGGCAGATGGACCCATCTCTTCCTGGATAGAAGGATCGCTTCTTTGCTGAATCTGTCTATCTCACACCACACACCACCCTTCACTGTTGGCCATGGTACTTGCTGAAAATATATAGTTCTGTTTTAAGACTCCAGCTTATTCGTGAATATTTTCTATTCTGTTTCATTTTTGCAAAATTCCAACTGTGACTCACCCTCACAGGCTGCAGCCAACAGGCCACAACTCCCTGACTGAACTCTCCTGTGAAGTCTCTTCAGCAAACTACGCTAGGGGCCTGGCTTACTCATGTTGAGAAAGTGGATCCCAGCACACATCACAAGTTACGGTGAACAGCCAGCAGTTAAAGAGAAAAATATGAAAAACAGAACTTTAAATATCATGAGGAAAAAAGAAAGACAGCTTTTTAAAAAATTATTTCAGGGTAGGGAATATTTTATTAAAACCACAAAAATAACAAGAACTAAAGGAAAATATTGATGGATTTGGTTATGATAAAATGTAGAACTTCAGTTCAGCAAAGGGTATCTTAAAGTAGAAAAGTCAGACTAGAGGAAGACACTTTGATGAATGCTACCAATAAAGAATTTTTATACAGAATAATAAAAGATGAAAACAAAAAAGATAACAACCCAATAGCAAAAGTGGCAAATAAGTTAGCAGATAAGTTGCAGATATGAAAATCTAAGTAATTCACAAATTTGCAAAAACAATTACTAGTAATTGGGCATAAATAAACTAAGATTATAATGAAGTACAAGTTCATATTCATAAAATTGATTTTTAATCTAAAAATTCCAGGCATTGTTAACCATGTGCAGGAATTGGAATTCCAGCACCTCCCAGTGGGTGAATTCATTGTTAAAACTCTTCTGGAGAAAAATATGGCAACACCCACCAGGTAGAAACACACATACTTCTTGACCCAGAAATTCTAGACATATTAAGCATAGATTTATAAGATTCATATTGATTTTTAATTAAATATTTAAAAAATTATTTTGAAAGAGAGACAGGGAGAGTAAGGAGAGCGACAGGGAGAGAACCCCGTTTTCTGATTCACTGCCCAAACGCCTGCAACAGCCAGGGCTGGGGCTGAAGTCGGGAGCCTGTAACCCAAACCAGGTCAAGCACAGGGGTGGTAGAGGTTGAACTACTTGAGCCATCACCTGCTACCTCTCAGGATGCACATTAGTAGGAAGCTGGATGAGAAGTGAGGTAGCTGGGACTTGTTTCCACTATGGGTTGTGGATGTCCCAAGTGGCAACTTAAGCTGATTCACCAAATGTCTCTCCCACATACATTTTTATCCTTGGGTACATGAAGATATGTGAATAATTGTTCCAGCTGTACTAAAAGGTAGGGAAAAATTAAATTCTGAGAATGGATACATACATTGTGATTTATCCATTCAATGAAAGACTACATAGCAGAGAAAATAACAGAGAGACACAGATGTCAACATGTTTGAATCTTAACAACGCAGAACAAAATGGTAAGGGTCACAAATGAGTATATGATACCATGTATACTGACTTTGTAGAAAAGGAACACAATACAATATATTGTTTAACAATAACTAGTATGTTTTACGGGGCTAAAAGAATGCATGAAAATGCAGAACATCAAATCCAGAATAGTTGGGACCCCTGAGGAAGGCAGATGTGTTTAGGCAGCAGTTTATAAAGGGGCCACCTCTATTGCACAGTATTTTGCTTCTAAAGCTGGAGAGGAGGGACACAGTTTATATCATGTTCTTATTTATACATTTTTTGCATATATAAAATATTTTAAAATGAATTTAAAGTAGAAGAGATGATTAGAGATGATAATCTTGGTGGTGGGCTGTGTTAATAACATCACCACCAAAAGAAATAAAATAGTGACATTTCCAAAGTCAGAAACACCAAGATTTTTTTAGATTCAATGCACCAAATCAAATAAAGGAAAGTATCAGTTATAAATGCATAGTTTTTAACATTAATGGAGCACAAACCAACTGTATGATACAAAAGTTGATGGAAAATAATTTATAACTCCTTTTATATGAAGTTCATGGAACACAAAATAGGTAAGCATTCATGTCAAAACATTTATAAAGCATCCCTTGCTTTAAAACGTCCATGGTATATCTAATATTCTAAATTTTAAGGAGGGTTAAAAGAAAATGAGGGCAGGAGACACTGAGCAGCTGCACTGGGATTCGGGTCCCAAGCACTTGAGCCACCACCTGCTGCTCTGTCCCAGGAACATGGGGGTGGGGTGAGGGAATTATGCCCCCTCCCACCCTATACTGATGGGCAAGTCCAATAACCAACGACAGTGAAAACTCCAGTGATGAGAACCTTAAGAGAGAAGACTTACAAATTGACTGGTTTGATGGGTGCCAAGAATGATCTTGTTTGAAATCTGTCCCAGAGACCACCAACCATCTAGAATTATCATCAAAGTTAATGTTAGATACTTAATGAACAAGCTGCTAGAAGTTCTCAGCTAGAAGTTCAATGTCCTTTATCGTTCCTTCACATCACAGCTGAGCCCAGGCTCTCTGTGAGGAGCACTCTTCAAGCACCCCCAGGAACTCGTGGTGGGCTCCACTTCGCTCTCAGACTCCTACTTTTAACTTGCTTTGCCATAGCTGGAATCTGCCTCATTCTCCTCACTGGGCTCCAAGCCCATGGGAATGGTGTGATTGTCAGTTCCATCCTGCAGGGGTCCCTCGGCCTGCTCTGCAGCAGGGCCTGTCTCCCTCTCCAGCCCAGCCTCTCTCCTGAACTTTGAACCTCTTCATGTCTGGGAAAGACTTTGGACACTACTATAATTTAACACCAAGAAATGGCAAATTATGGCCTATTTTTGTACATGGATATAAAAATATGTTGAGGTAGTTTAGAAATCATTAAAAAATAATTAGGAGCATGAAAATTTTTTGTCCTTCAATTAACTTTAATTTCTATGTGAAAATTCAGGCTTAAATTTTTACACTAGAGTCATGTTTTTCCTCTTTTATTATCATTTTTCACTGTAGAAATTGGAGAAGTTCACAAGATAACATAGTCCTCTTAACCTGGGGTTCATGGACCTCCTAAGTATCTGTGTCTAGAGCTACATTTCAACATAACTGGATTATTTGTTTTTAATCCTTTGATTGCAAGGATTCAAAAACTCCATTATGATAAAAAGCCCAAGGAGAGATAAGGCACAGAAGAATGTGGGAATCAAGGATGTGGAAGGAACTTCACAATCACAGAGTAGTGCCACATGACCCAGTGTTGGGAGGTCAGAAGTGAGGGCTCGGATGAGACCTGAAGAATGCTTGGGATTTAGCCTGGCACAGTGAGCCCTGGAGGCACTGGAATATGGTGCACAAAGGGCAAGACCCAGGAGAGAGCAGGACAAACCTGAGCATCAGAGAGCTCAGTGGAGAGAGAACAGAACCATGTGCCCTAACATTTGGGCTGCAAAGTGGAGCAGCAGGAGGAAGAGGATGGGAGAGAGGAGACCCAGGAGGGGCTCAGGTAGACTGTGTGTCACGTCAATAAGCATGGGTTTCATTTTGTGTAATGTGATGGTTGAATCAATGGAGAAACATGAACATATTCACACTTTAGAAAAAGTAATGCTGGCTGTGGTGTGGATGCAAGAATCCACGTGGTAAATTCTTTGTGTTTGGAGGTGAAAAGAATGCCCACCTCACCTGATGCCTCAGTAAGCTCTGTTTTATCACATGCTAAGAGATGATATCACATGACAATCTGAGCCAAGTTCTTCCCCTTTTGCCTTGAAAAGCACAGAGCTAGGTTTGAGGTCCTATTTCAAGAATGATTCTCAGCACAGGTTATCTAGTGAAATCATTTCTCCTTTTCTTTGCTATTTATATTTTCTTTTGTAATTTTAAGTATAAACCCAATCACTGTAAAAGGCCTTTTGAGAAAAAGGTCAGATTTAAATAATAAATTTAGAAATTCCAATAGTGATAATATTAAAGTATCTGCAGTCAGCAGTTGTTTAGGAAGATGGGGCTTGGCACTCCATAAACATAGATATTTACTTGGCTGCTTATGTGATTCAAGAATGAGGTGACTTGAGGCTTTGATGTTTGGTTAGTAGCAGTGAGAAACACGCAGCTGCTAGGGGACACTTCCTGACCGGGGCACTGCCAGCACACTTTCCTACCTCCTGGGAGTGAAACTGACCTGGGTTATTGCTGGTGCACTTTCGTATCTCTTCAGGGTGAAACACTGTGAGAGGGGGTCAGCAGCCTTTTCCACTGTTGTTTCTTCTGGATCGAGTTTTGGTGGCAGCATCTTGTCCCAAGGAACAACTTCATAAGCTCTATGAAATCATTAAATAAAGATATCTCATGGAAAGCAGGTCTTCAGTTGGTCTGATAATAAGAGTATCACAGTCCATAATATGCGGAATTCTAAGATGACTCCACTGTGCCTGCCTTGGGATGTTCTTCTGTAGATCATCACTGCCCCAGGAAACCTAGAGCAAGTGGAAACTATGAGGCGGCACGACTGCGATATGTCACTTTGTACAGCACAATGGATCCTGTGCATGTAATTAAGGTCCTGAATCAGTTGAATTTGAGTTCACCAAAAGGAGGGTTGTACTGAGTGGACATGGTTGAATCAATGAGCCCTGAAAAGAGGCAGAGAACAGCAACAATGCTCTAGCTGCCCTTCTACAAACGACTCTGAGAGCCCCAGGGGCAATGACTGCATGTGCCAACAGCCTGACCTATCCTGGGAGAGGAGTGCACAGCTGCAGAGGGCACCTGACTCTAGCCTGGAGAAACCCTGAGAGGGAGCCCAGGCAGGGCGTGCCTGAGCTGCCGGCCTGCAGGCTGCAGGGTAATGAAGCTGCTACATTTGCGGTTCTTAGTCACACAGCAACAGGAACTAATGTGCACACCTGCACACAGCTCATCATTTACAAAAAAATCTCCTTTGACGTTCACAGCAGGCAAGGAGGAGCACTAATACAAATAATACAAATAAACTATCACTAAGAAAGTTGGTTTGGCTTGCTTAAGGTTACTCAGCTCCCAAGATCAAAGTCAGGACTCAATTCCCCATTATTTGTCTCTGAAGAATTAACAGCATGCCACCATTCTACATGAACACAACCAGATTACACAAATTTTGAGCATGGCTCCAGGGCTCCAGCAACCCTAATGGATGCAATTAAAAAAAATGTACTTGAAAGGTACACACACACACTCGCAGAGAGAGAAAGAGAGAGAGAGAGAGAGAGAGAGAGAGAGACACTCTTTCTGTTAGTTCACTCAACAAGAGCTCACAACAGCCAGGGCCAAAGCCAAGTGCCAGGAATTCAATCCAAGTCTCCCACATGCATGGAAGAACCTGAGTACCCGAGCCATCATGCAGGAAGTGCATTAGCAGGAAGCTGGAATTAGAAGTACAGCTGGGACTCAAACACAGGCATTTTGATATGTGGCCACAGGCATTCCATGTGGTATCTTAACCACTGTGCCAAATGCCAACCCCCAGAGCACAACTATTACAGTTATGTGGATTTGGGTTTACAAGTTTGAAAGATACCTCACTGAACCTGTGATATATTTTATGAATATTTTGTGGAATTTTCCATAGAGGTTATAAACCTTTTTGCACAAGAAAATTTTTATATTTTTAAACAGATACCACTAAATATTATGATTTAATACTTTATTTTGTAAAAATAAATAACCATATTCTAAGTAAAATATCATGCTTTTAACCAAAATATTCACTGTTTCTAAGATGACCAATGGAATAAAATTTAAGATCACAGTACAACAACAACAACACAAACCCAAAACCAGAGAGGGATTTAGAGTCTATGTCGTCATAATCCTTTATTTTCAGGGTGAGAATTTTGAGAACCAAAATGAAGAGAGGATGTCCAAGACATCAGAGACTTGCCATTGGAATCCAAGGCTGCTCATGGACAGTGCTCCTTTCTATTTGGTGCCAAGACTCTGAAATCCAACCTCATATTATCACAGCTTTCTTTATGTTGCATAAATTGTCTAGGATAGCAGGTATTCACATATTTTCATAGAACTATTTGGTCACAGGTGGACCTTCAATCTGAGTGAAAAACATGAAGTTGGCTGGCGCCGCAGCTCACTAGGCTAATCCTCCGCCTGTGGCACAGCACCCCAGGTTCTAGTCCCGGTTGGGGCGCCAGATTCTGTCCCGGTTGCTCCTCTTCCCGTCCAGCTCTCTGCTGTGGCCCAGGAAGGCAGTGGAGGATGGCCCAAATGCTTGGGCCCTGCACCCCATGGGAGACCAGGAGGAAGCACCTGGCTCCTGGCTTCGGATCGGCGCAGCGTGCCGGCCGTGGTGTCCATTTGGGGGGTGAACCAATGGAAAAGGAAGACCTTTCTCTCTGTCTCTCTCACTGTCTAACTCTGCCTGTCCAAAAACAAACAAACAAAAAAAAAAAAAAAGAAAAAGAAAAAACACATGAAATTAAAATATAAAGTATGTCTGCAGTGTTCAACAGGCGAGAGGCAAGAAGCGCAGTGGCAGACATGGAGTGTCTTGTCACATGAATTGTTATTCCTTTATCCCATTACGTCCTCTCTCGTCCTCTCCACCCATTTCTCCACAATGCGCTATGCATCGTGGCTTCCAAACTATCAGTTTGCTGAGTTCTATATCCACTGGTCAATCCATCATCCACTCTCAGCCTCAGCCTCCTGGATTTCTTTGTACAACGTCACGAGTTCACCACTCCCTCCTTGCAGGCACTAGACTGTTCATTTTCCTGCTAGGCCCTTTTCAGTCTCTTTCACTGGTTCCTGCTTTCCTCTGGCTTCTTCGTGTTGGAATGCCAGGCCTCCGTGCTCTCTGCTGCTCTGACAGCACATCTGTTTGAGCATCATCATCCGTCCATGCCTTTACCTTCCCCTGATACCCAGGCAGTCTCTAGCCCAGAGCTCTCTCCCATATGCCACAGCCATATATCCCACTGCCTACTTGACAGGTCCATTCGGGTGTCTAATGGACATCTTCAGAGTTGATGCATTTAAAGCTGAAGCCCAAAGCTTGCTCCACTGCTTTCTTGTTAAGGAGCGGCAACGCAAGTCCACTCACCTGCTCAGTCTAACGCCTTAGGACAATTCCTGAGTCCTTTTCCTCTCAGATTCATTTTCATTTTCATTAGGAAAATGTATTGCTTCTACATTCAACACATACCAGAGGTTAGTTAACCATTGCTTCAATTCCCTCTATTACCACCCTACTCCAACTTACCACTATCCCACTCCTAGAAGACAGCAACAGTCCAACTGCTCTCCACACAATCTACCTGGAACACAGCAGCCACCACCACAACCTTGATGTATGTCTCAGGTTGCCACTTCTCTGCTGAAGTCTCCTGTCACTCAGAATAGCATCCTTGGTAGTTCAGGCTCAACGTGCCCTGCACGCTCTGCTGGTTCCCAGCACTTCTCTGACCCCCGCTTTCGCCTCTCCTGCTCCTTGTACTTGTCTTCACACCCTTGCCTCTTGTTCTTCTGCAGCACGTTTGCACACTTCCCACGTGGGCTTTTGCTCTGTTACACTACGAGTATGCAGACACTGTGAGTGCACGCACGGATGCTCCTCCACCTTCCCACATTTCTACTCAAACCTCATTCCTCAAGAAACTCCCCACCCCTGAGCTCCTGTTTATGAATGAAGCCTGCTACCCTGAACCCACAGCATTACCGATCCTGTCCTGGTTTGCCTCTTCTTTGTCTGGTACACTTACCATCTTCTAAGGTAGGGTTCATGTATCTTCTCCTTGACATCACTTTCTAAGATAGGATCTATCTATTTTCAAGTTATATTTTTGTTCCTCTTTAGAAACACAGCTACTTGCAAAAAGAGATCTTTGCTTTATTCAATAATGTATCTGTTATCAGAATTATCCTTACTTCTGTGTGGAGGACTTGTAAAATGAGTCCTTTGCATCACACTTTTTGTTTGGTTGAAGTGGCTTGTGGTCATCCTAGAAGGCACAAATAATGTGTTAGAAGAGACCAAATAGAAATGGAAATAGCTATTGTTTATTATTCACCATGTTCTCTTTTTTCCTCTTCATTTTTCTTTTCCCAAGCTATTCTTTGACCAGGTTTAATGCTTCCATATTTTTCCTTTTTTCTATTTTGGAACTTTACATTATGCATCTATTTTCTTGATAGTTAAAATTTACAAAATGAATATGAAAGTTAATGGAAAATAATATTTTTATAAGATACTTTTAAAATTTAAAGGTTGGTAAATAGTTAATTTTAGCACCATGTAACCAAAACAACAAAAATATCAAACTTACTTGTCTTGTCTTCTAGCACAAGGATATTGACTCTGAGATACTTCTCTATCCCTTATCAATATTATATATCTCTATCTCTTATCAATATTATTTAATTATTTATTATTAAATAACCAATAATACCATCTTTCATGGTTACTATTTAGTTGATTTTTCAAGATATTTTACCAATTCTTTACCTACTTTTACTTGTTTTATACTTTTTCCCCCCTTCTTATTCTTGATTTTATTTTTTTCTCCCTGAAGTTTAATTTTCAGTAACTTTTTCAAGGATGTGAGTCTGTACTTGTAAATGTTTCCTTTGATGTGTAGAAGTGTTCGAGTTTTGTATAATCAATCCCAATTGCTTAGTTTTAGTTTTTTTTTTAACGTTTATTTATTTATTTGAAAGGCATAGTATTAGAAAGAGAGGGAGAGACAGAGAGAGAGAGACCTTCCATCTGCTGGTTCACTCCACAAATGGCTGCAAAGGCCAGAGCTAGGCTGATTTGCAACCAGGAGCCAGTTTTCTCTTTTGTTGTTAGTATGTTGAATTACATTAATTTTGAATGTTAAATGACTTTGCATTCATGAGATAAATATCACTTGTTACTTTGTTGCATTCACAGCTAATATTACAAAAACCAGTGACAGTCACACATGACTTTTATTGAAAATGAGAAGCAAATGAGAGACAAATGAGAGGCAAGGTAACCCATCAGGACTGGCCACCGATCCAGACCAACACTCCTTACCAGAGTGCAGCCTCCAACAGCGGGTTACACAGCTTTTTATAGTATTATGTCCACTAGGGCTCACAATTTCGAACTGGACCCCTGGTATGCAGTGAACAATAAAAAGGAAAACCAGAAGATAACAGTTAACAATAACAAACCCAATAGCAGATCCAAGATATAGCTGTAAGATAACAGTGAAGGACACATTTCGGTCAACCTAGTTCCTGGGAATTTGGGCCAACATGGCTTCACAAGATACACCCTTAGCTGTTAGCAAGCAAAGCTAATATGTATAGAAGCAAGAGGTCTGCATTAGCTTTTAGCCACACTCACTCCATTTTGATTCTGATTTTACAACCTATTTATGATATATCATTAGTTTTTTTTGTTTTTGTTTTTGTTTTTTTTTTTTTTTTTTTTTTTTTTTTTTTGGACAGGCAGAGTGGACAGTGAGAGAGAGAAAGGTCTTCCTTTGCCGTTGGTTCACCCTCCAATGGCCGCCGCAGCTGGCTCGCTGTGGCCGGCACACCGCGCTGATCCGATGGCAAGAGCCAGGTACTTCTCCTGGTCTCCCGTGGGGTGCAGGGCCCAAGTACTTGGGCCATCCTCCACTGCACTCCCGGGCCACAGCAGAGAGCTGGCCTGGAAGAGGGGCAACCGGGACAGAATCCGGCGCCCCGACCGGGACTAGAACCCGGTATGCCGGCGCTGCAAGGTGGAGGATTAGCCTAGTGAGCCATGGTGCCGGCATCATTAGTTTTATAAGTTGCTGGTTTTAATTTGTTAATACCTTGGAAAACTTTTTGTGTCATGATATATGAGGAACATTAATTTGTAGTTTCTCTGTCTACTTTCATTATATTAGGTTACATGCCTAAAATTAATTGAGAAATGTTTATTTTCTGAAATAACTTACCCTAGCATCTGTATGGGATGCCTTTGCCTTACACAGCAACTTCATGTGCTAAGCCACAGTGCCAGCCCTTTAGTTTTGATTTTGTTGCTTGTGCTTTGGGATTCCTATCCAGGGAGTCATTATCTACACCAATATCTTGAAATATTTCCCCTACATTTTCTTTCAGCAACTCTAAAGTCTCAGGCCTTAAGTTTAGGCTAAATTTGTTCTTTTTTTATTTTTATTTTATTTTATTTTTTTTATTTTTTGACAGGCAGAGTGGACAGTGAGAGAGAGAGACAGAGAGAAAGGTCTTCCTTTGCCGTTGGTTCACCCTCCAATGGCCGCCGCGGCCAGCGCACTGCGACCAGCGCACCGCGCTGATCCGATGGCAGGAGCCAGGAGTAAATTTGTTCTTAAATACTTGGCTTTTTGTGTGTGTGTGGCTATTGTGAAGGGAATTTCTTTCTTGATCTGTCCCTTTTGAGTACATAATTAGCATCTAAAAAGCTACTGGTTTTCGTATGTTTATTTTGTAATCTGCAACTACATTGAATTGGTTTTTCAATTTAACAGCTTTTTTGAAGTGTTTAGGTTTTTCCAGGTACAACAGCATGCCATCTTCAAACACTGATATTTTGATGTCTTCCTTTATTTTTTCTCCTCCCTAATCGATTTTGCTAATACTTCCAATATTATATTGTATAAGAGTGGTGAAAGTGAACGTCTTTGTGTTGTTCCAGATCTGAGGGGAAATGCTTTCAGAGTGCCTCATTCAGTAGGATTTAGTCTGTTCTTTGTCATATATAATCTTTATAATTTTCAGATATGTTTCTTCTATACCTAATTTTTGGATGGCTTTTATCCTAAAGGGATGTTGAATCTTACCAAATGCTTTTTCTTTTGAAATTACCATATAGTTTTTGCTCTTCATTCTGCTGATGTTTATTGATTCGTGAATGCTGAATCACCCTTGCATCTCTGGGATAAATCCCACATGATTCTGATGTATGATCTGTTTGTTGTGGCATTGGATTCAGTTTGTGAATATTTCATTGAGAATTTCTGCATCTATGTTAATCAAGAATATAGGTCTGTAGCTTTCTTTTTGTGTTTTATCTTCATTCAGTTTTGGTATTAGAGTGATGTTGCCTTGCAAAGAGTTTGGCAGAGTTTTATCCTGTTCAATATTTTGCAATAGTTTGAAAAGCACTGGAGTTAGTTCTCTTTACATCTTTCTTGAACCATCAGGTCCTGGAGTTTACCTTGATGGAAGACTTTTAATTACTGCATCAATTTTTTTTTTTTTTTTGTTATGAGTCTGTTCAGATTTTCCACATCTTGATTTAATCTTGGTAGGTTTTACATATCCAGGACTTTGTCCATTTCTTCAAGATTTCCAATTCATTAGCATATACTTGTTCACATTGTTTCTTATGAGTCGTTGTATTTCAGCTGGTGTTGGTTGTAATGTATGTTTTCATCTCTATTTTATTTGAGTGTTTTCTCTCTCTCTTTTTTTTTTATTAGGTGAGAGAGAGACAGAGAGAAAGGTCTTCCTTCCGTTGGTTTACCCCCCCCCCCCCAACGGCTGCCATGGCTGGCGCACTGCGCTGATCCGAAGCCAGCAGCCAGGTGCCTGCTCCTGATCTCCCATGCGGATGCTGGGGCCCAAGCACTTGGGCCATCCTCCACTGCTTTCCTGGGCCACAGCAGAGAGCTGGACTGGAAGAGGAGCAACCGGGACTAGAACCTGGCGCCCATATGAGATGCCTACGCCGCAGCTGGAGGATGAACCAAGTGAGCCAAGGCACCAGCCTCTGAGTGTTTTCTCTTTTTATCTTTGTTAGTCTGGCTAAACGTTTGCCCAATTTGTTTATCTTCTCAAATAACCAGCTTTTTGTTTTGTTGATTTCTTTTTTCTGTTTGTTTCAATTTTGTACTTTTATGCTCTGACCCTTATTTCTAGCGTCTTGTTAAGTTGGGGTTTGGTTGTTCTTGTCTTTCTAAGTCCTTGAGATGTCTGATTAGATTGTTTATTTGATACTTTTCTCTTAATGTAAGTACTTAATGCTATAAACTTCCCTCTAAATATTGTTTTTGCTGTATGCATAAGTTTTGATATGTTTAATTTAATTAAGAAAGTTTTTTTTCTTTTTTGATTTCTTCAATGACCCATTGGTCATTCAGTAGTATGTTGTTTAATTTACATGTATTTGCATGTTATATTGCTCTTATTATTGATTTCTAGCTTTATTCCTTTGTGTTCTGAGAACATGCATGGTGTGATTTCAATCCTTTGAAACTGACTGAGACTTGATTTGTGGCCTAATATATGGTCTATCCTAGAGAAAGTTCCTTGTGCTGATGAGAAGAATGTGTATTCTCTAGCTGTACGGGTGAAATGGTCCATAAATATGTCAAGTCCATTTGCTCAATGGTATGGTTCAATTCTAATGTATCTTTGTTTAAGTCTGATGATCTGTCCACTGATGACAGTGGGGGTGTTGAAGTGCCCCACTGTTATTGTATTAGAGTGTATCTCTCCTTTTAGGTCTAACAATATTTGCTGTATGTATCTGGGTGGTCTTGTGTTGGGTGCATATATATTTACGATTGATATATCTTCTTGTTGAATTATTCCTCTTATTATAATATAATCTTTTGTCTCTTTTTACAGTTTTCCAACAGAAGTCTATTTTATCTGATATGAGTATTAGCTACTCCTGCTTGGTTTTGGTTTTCATTTGCCTGGCATGTTTTTTCCCAACCCTTCACTTTCAGTCTATGTGTAACTTTATTTGTGAAGTGAGTTTCTAATGGACATCATAGAATTGGGTCTTGGTTTTTTACACATTCATCCAACTGAAGTCTTCTGGCTGGGGAATTTAAGCCATTTAAGTTCAAGGTTGGTACTGATAGGTAGGAATTAACACCTTTCATTTTGTTGATTGGTTGCTGATTCAACCTACTCTGTTACTGAATTTGGTAGTATCATGTGTTTTCATGACGTTTGCTTCTAATGTAGGACTCCCTTCAGAATTTCTTGTAAGGCTGGTCTGGTG